TAAATAAAATCTTTAAAAAAAAAAAGAAGAAGAAGAAGAAGAAGGAGAAGACCCCAGGGATATCTTGTTTTGCTGTCCTTGAATTTGGAGGACACAGTAGATGGGTGCCCAACATTTTAAGTCCTGACTTGAGAGTATGTTTGTAATCAAAGTGACCTTGGTACCCTCTTACTTGTGAGAGCCTGTGGTGAGGTGGGGGTGCTGCCCCAGCTTTCGTGGAGGTTTGAACAGGTTTCATGACAAATTGGGAGACAAAAATCAAGTGAGGATCATATCCTGTGAGTCCTGCTTGGCTCTTTATCTCTGGCATTCTGCAAATGTAACATAACACGTCTAGGTGTAGATTTCTTTTCATCTGTAATGCTCGGGAGTCTTTGTATTTCACATCCATATCTTTCATCGATTCTGGAAATTTCTCAGCTGCTTCTTTAAATAATGCCTCTCTACAAGGCACCTGGCTGGCTCAGTAGGAGGAGCAGGTGACTATTGATCTCGGGGTCATGAGTTCGAGCCCCACATTGGGTGTAGAGATTACTAAAAAAATTAAATAATGCCTCTCTGCAATTCTATTTTTTTTTTAAAGATTTTATTTATTTTTTTGACAGAGAGAGACACAGCGAGAGAGGGAACACAAGCAGGGGGAGTGGGAGAGGGAGAGAGAGAAGCAGGCTTCCCTCTGAGCAGGGAGCCCGATGCAGGGCTCGATCCCAGGACACCGGGATCATGACCTGAGCCGAAGGCAGACGCTTAATGACTGAGCCACCCAGGTGTCCCTGCAATTCTATTTTCTTTTGGAACTCAATTAGCCATGTATCAGCCTTTCTTTTTATTCTTTTTGTCTCTTATTTATTTAGCAGATATTTACTGAGCCCTACGCCAGACATGATTTGGGGTATTTGGCATATGTAAGCTCCCCTGTGGGTCTTTTTTTTTTTTTAACTACTGATTTTAAGTTTTTTTAATTTCTAATTTTATTTATTTATTTATTTCTGTATTTAGAGACAGAGAAAGAGAGGGATGGGGAGGGTCAGGGGGAGAGAGAGAATCTTAATCAGACTCCACATTGAGCCCAATGCGGAACTTGAACTCACGACCCTGAGATCATGACCTGAGCCGAAGCCAAGACAACTGAACCACCCGGGCGCCTGAAGTCCTTATATCTCAGGAGGTTATAGCTCTTTTGTTCTTGACTTTTGGCAGGCATCTTGGTTCCAGTTTTCCACCTTGCAAAGCCTTGTCCACTGAGCCCCTGGTGGTCATGACATCCCTTGCCTTTGGGTTTCCGACCTTGGCAAACACCCCAGGGCAGCTGCTTACCGCTCTCATTTCCAGATCTTTGCTCTTGGCCCTTGAGGATTTCCCATACTTTCCTGCAGGCTCAGCGATATGCTTAAAAGCATGTGCGTTGTATTTCATCCAGCACATTACATCAGGTGAAATTACATCAAGAGGACTTTTTTTTAATGACATTTAGTCTGCTATAGGGCCAGTAATGGATCTCCCCTCGTGTGTAATCCTCCTGGATTCCTGGGGCAGATTGTCTTTAGAGGTTTGCTCTTTTGCTCAGACTCCCTCAACAGCTGCTCAGCGGTAGGTTCTATGCTGGTGAGTTGTTCTCTCTCCTTTCCTGGCTCTCTGGTCTGGGAAGTGCAGACAGACGGAAGGAGGGCTCTCTTTGCGCCCTGGTTTGGTCCAGTCTGAGATTCCCAGCTGGAGAGCGTGGGTGGGAGCCTTGTCCTCAGTGGGACCCTTGGCGTGGGCCTCCGAGCAGCCTCCTATGGGGCTAGTGTTGTGCCGCCCCCCGCCCCCCAGCCCCCGTGCAGCTCCCCAAGGCCTCAGTTAATGGTGACAGACCTCCCAGACCCTGGCGTCAGGTTGTCTGTCCATCCCCTTTTATTAGTAATGCTATTACCAACATTCCTCTCTTCCTGTGTCTTCGTGGATAGAGTATACATTTCTCAACCCACTTGTGCATCCAAAGAAGAAGGGATAAAGACAAATGCTGTATGATTTCACTTATATGTGGAATAAAATTTTTTTAAAACCCTCGTAGATACAGAGAATGGATGGGTGGTTGCCAGAGGTGGGGGGGTTGGGGGAGGGTCGGTGAAATGCGTGAAGGGGGTCAAAAGGCACAAACTTCCAGTTACAAGATAAATAAGGGGCACCTGGCTGGCCCAGTCAGTTAAGCGTCTGCCTTCGGTTCAGGTCATGATCTCAGGGTCCTGGGATCGAGCCCCGTGTCGGCCTCTACATTTTGCAGGGGGAGCCTGCTTCTCCCTCTCCCTCTGCCCCGCCCCCTGCTCGTGCTCTCTCTCAAATAAATAAATAAAATCCTTGGAAAAAAAAAGAAGATAAATAAGTCCTGGGGATGTCATGTACAGCATGGGGGTTATGGTTGGTATCACTGTACCCTATATTTGCAAGTTGCTAAGAGAGTAGATCTTGAAAGTTCTCATCAGGAGAAAAAACATTTGTAACTGTGTGGTGACCCATGTTAACTAAACTTATCCTGGAGATCCTTTCCCAATATATACAAATAAATCATGATGTCGGACTCCTGAAATGAATACAATGTTATATGTCCATTGTATCTCAATTTAAAAAATAATAATAATCAATAAGCATATATAAAAAAAAGAGCAGAGCGGGTGAGTACATTGTGGTACTTTCATGCAATAGCATATTTACTTAGCAATAAGAACAAGTTATTGTAAAAAAACAAAAAACAAAAACCAAAAAAACAGGATATTGCAACGCACAAAAAAAGAATGAAGCTCACAAGTGTTAATGTGAGCCAAAAACACCCCTCCACAGCCCAGAAAGTAAATAAGCAAAGTTCATCAGTGATGACAAAGGTAGAAACACAGGTTGTTTCTTGGGCGTGGCGGGTGGGTATGGGCTGGGAAGGGGTTCTGGGGAGCCTGCTTGGATTTGGGAATGTCCTATATTTTGACCTGAGTGGTGATTACAGTGGAGTGTACTTAAGTAAAAATGCATCAATCTGGACACCGAAGATTCTGGCACTTTACCGCACATAAAGTACCTCTCAGCAGAAAAGAAAAACTTACTATGAAATATTCCAAACACCCCCCAAATGATACGGGATCGTATTTTTAAAGAGCACTTTAAAAATAACACCGCCAATTCAACGACACCCTTTGAAGTCTTTGGTGTAGACCATGCCTCTCCCGTTCCATCCCATCCCAGGTGAGCTCCAACCTGGAATTGTGCTGAGCTCACAGGACCGAGGCCTGGGCAGACAAGGACTTAGGACGCTCCTTGCGTGAGATTCAGGCCCTTCGCCTGGATCTGGCCTTGTGTCCCCCACACCCGCAGCGCCTTGTGCTCCAGCCTGGCCCCCAGGCTTCTGCCTGAGACGCCAGGCCCCCCAGTCTCCGCGTGACAGTGTCTGCCTGCTCCCCTCTTCCTTCCTCCCTGCACCCAACACCTTCCTCTTCCCAGCGGCTAACGTATGGCCACACCGACTGCTGGCTTGCTGGGGTGGGGTGGGGGGTTCGCTCTTTTCTGACCACAGTGTACAGTTCCCACTGAAGCCTACACTGGTCAAAGAAACGCTTTTCCCCGGGGTCAGGGTGATGCATTTAGCGCCCTCAGTCTCCACCCTATCAGACGGGGGCTGGTCCTTGGGGACAATGAAAAAAACCAGAAATCACAGTGGTGTTTGATAAGTCCGGAGAGGAAAGAATCTTGTTTGCAGAAGCTCTTTGAATTTCTTTTCTTTTTTTTTTTTTAAAGATTTTATTTATTCATTTATTTGAGAGAGTGAGAGAGAGAGAGCACATGAGAGGGGGGAAGGTCAGAGGGAGAAGCAGACTCCCTGCCGAGCAGGGAGCCCGATGGGACTTGATCCCGGGACTCCAGGATCATGACCTAAGCCAAAGGCAGTCGCTTAACCAACTGAGCCACCCAGGCGCCCAGCTCTTTGAATTTCAAAATGCTGGGCTGGGAAGATCGGTTCTGGGAAGGACAGAGGCCGTGAACATTCAAGGCAGCTGAAGCCCAGAGACCAGGGTGCTGTTGAGCTCTATCCCAGAACCGTCTCGTGGTGGATACGGCCGATTGCTTGCCATTTGTCCCCACCCCCAGCCCCATTCTGCAGTCCCTCCATCCGGGCTGGGTGTGCCCAGGGGCTGGCCTCGAGCCTGCAACAGCCTGGGCTCCGGGTTGGGTTCGGCCTCGGGGAGGGGCAGCCGGAGGAGGGCAGGAGAGAGCCGGGGGCATCATCTTCCAGCTCCTTTCCGCTTGGGGTGGGGTCTTCTGGACAGCTCCAGTTCCAGTCACAGCTCCTTTGCTTTGCCCCATGGGATGGCACTGGTTCCCACAGAGTCCCCCGTGGCGTCCCTTGGCCCTGGCCACACCCGTGCACACGGCCCCTTCCTTAAACTCTTCACCCGCGGACGGTCCCCAGTGCCTCCCTCTGTGCTGACGCAGGAGCCAGCACGAAGCTTCCAGATGCGTTCAGCTGTTAACCTCGAGAGCCTCGTTCGGTCTCCCAGGGCAGCAACGTCAAGTGCATAAGCCTGTAAAATGACCGCCGAGCTCGCAAACCCTTACTGTGCATTTGATCTCTAGAAAGCTGGCTGCAGGAGATAGAATTCGCTCCCTGAGGTTCTAAGTGTTCTCGCCGAACTCAGTGAACTCGTTAGTTATTCTGCACATCAGGGAGATTTTTCATTTTCTTCTTGTGGGCCCCCTCCTCCTTCTAACAGAGTCAAGTCCAAACCCCCAGCCCTCCCTGGTGGCCTTACCCGGCCTGCCCCCCGCTGCCCTCTGTCTCTGGTCCTCTGCTGGTCCCTGCTGGGCTCCTGCTCCTTGGACAAGCCCAGGTCCCGGTCTCCTGGGTCTCTTAAGGCCAGGCTCTCTGAGGCCCTCATCAGCCATTCACAACTGAGTAGGAATTAGCTGGCAGCGAACAGGACTGAGCCCCACTCCTGGCACGCCCCGGGGGGCCCGCAGAGAAAAGCAGACAACAAGGGTCCTGGACGTCAGTCACAAGCTTTATTGTCTCGAGCACGGACTCGCCACACTTCAACAATTCCACTTTGGGGAGGACAAGGGGGCGGGAGGGCTTGGGGATGGGGCACGGCTGAGCCCACACTGGGCAGGCGGAGACGCTCGCAGGCAGATGGCTTCTTACCACCTGCCAGCAACCCTGGGGGCTCAGCCCCTCCTGGTGCGGGCCTTTGGCTGTTAGTAGACTAATCAGTGCCTCCTGCAGGCGGGGCGAGCTGCCGGATTTTGCTGGAAAGAGTAGTATTTAACTCTGGGTTAGGCCACTAAAGCATCGCTTCTAGACTGCTGTTAATAAAACCGCATGCGAGAGCTACCAGAAGCCAATGGGGAAGTGGGGGGCCGATGGGACGAACTGGCTGCCCCCCCATGGGCTGCGTTTGGGCAAGGATGGAGGCCCCCGGGGTTGCTCCCGGGGCGCAGACTGCATACCCGTCCTGGTGCGCTTCGGAAATGCCTCGATAGGGCATCAGGTTTCTTCCTTGACCTCCTGCGAGGGGAGGGCCCCAGAGTGAAACTCTCCCTGACACAGCGGAGGTGGAGGCAGGCCCCCTGTGGGGACGCTGAGGCACAAGGCAGTAACCTATGGGCCCTCCAGCTGTAGAGGTTGATCTACTGGCTTTTCCCACCACCCACAGGCCTGGAGTAACTCCGCCGGGCTCTCGGGGCAGAGGGGAGAGGTGGTTAGATCTTTTCTCCAATGTCCCTTGGGCTCTTTTCTTGGCTGCAGGGGACAGGGCTTCCAGGGCTCTGGGCAGGTGCCTGGTAAGCAGGGGGGCTGTTGGTATAAGTGCCTTCTGATGAGTGTGCCTGGCACGCCTGTCCCTGAACACTCAGCCACGCGTACCTGGGTGTGTATGCACACAGCTGGGCTGCAGGAACGTGCGCAGTGTGCGAGGACACGGCACTGCCGGGCCGGGGGCTCGATCCCGAGACCTGAGCGTGTGCATCTTCTGGCGGCAAACGCCCCGCCCACATGGCCGCGCATGCGTGCGGGACCCCTCTGGGCGGACGCCAAAGTCGGGGCGTGTCTAGGTCAGAGCCTGCCTGGCTGTGTCGGCAGGTGAGAGGCCCGGTTTGGGGAACAGCTAGTCCGCCCCGGGGACACCACCTGACTGACCGGTCAGAACATGCCTAGAGCCCTGGGTCTGGGCTCCCCAGCAGCCCCCCGGCCCCAGCGCCAAGCCAGGTGTGGTGGGGGATGAGGGGAGGGGCTTCCAAACTTTCCTAATACTGTGGCTCCTGGCCCTGGTGGCAACCCTCTGGCCAGCAGCTTGGAGCTACGTGTGAGTTGGGTGCTGGAGGGTGGGGGGGAGAAGGACCTTGTCCCCCCCCCAGTACCTTGAACCCGGGCCTCGCTGGGCAGAGGGGCTGAGGGGGTTTGTACCACTGTTTGTGGGGACAAGAAGCCTGGGGGCTGCAGGAAAGGGGGTCCCCGCCTGGCTCCCGAGGACTGGACTGGCCTCCTCGGTGCCTAGTGGGGCCTCCTCTGACCCTTTCCCGGGACAGTGGCTCTCTGGGGTCTCAGGGGAACCCGGGAGAAGGAAGAGAAAAAAGGGAGGGCAGAGACATGCCCGGGGTGCCAAAATGGTCCTCAGGGCAGCTCCTTCTGGGGAGGGGGGGGCCTGGCCAGGTCACCTCGGCCTCCCCCAAACAAGCTCCAGAAACTGCCGGGGGGTCCAGGGTGTCCAGGCCGAAAGTCCCGGGGACCAGGCCAGGACTGTACCGCTCTCTGTGGAAGGTCGTGCTTGAGGAAGCCTCCTGGTCCGGCAGGGGGGTCGGGGGTGGGGGATTGTCCGAGGCAGTGGGCACGTTATTGTTACAAACACTGTTCTTGTCTCCAAAGTGACAGTCCTGGCCCCTGCCTGGAGGGGGCGCCGCCGGGGTTCCGGGCGCCGCAGGCTGCAGGGGTTCTGGGGTGGACCGGGCCGCTCCGCGGTGTCCCTCGGGGTCAGTGCTTCTCCTGGAGGGAGCAAGGGCTTGATCAGCAGGTGTCTCCAGGAGGGGTGGGGGGCTGTGCACCTGGGCCAGGTAGCAGGGACAGCATAGGCAAAGGTCTTGGGGCAGAAGAGTCTCTCTTCTGTGTTTGGGGCTTGAGGAGACAGGAGGAGGGGTGGGTGCAGTTGAGGGGAAGAGGTGAGAGCAGACGGGTTTTACAAATAGCGCTGGGCGCCTGTGTGGAGGCACTGAAAATGAGCCAAGACTCCGGGCCTCAGTTTTCATGTCTGTAAACTGGGACAGCCCCATGTGCCTTGCGGGGCTGCTGGAGGGACAAGGCCACACGAAGGATGGACATGACCCATCTCCTCTGTTGGCAGGTCCGGTGCAGGGTCCCCCCCCAATCCCTCCCGGCCCCATCGCTCTCTCTGCCCCTCCCCCACAGGCCTGACCCCTGGCAGATTCTGTGGCCAAGGTTCTCCCATCTCTGGGTGAGCACAGTGGCTGGGGCGGGGGGGGGGCGCGCTCCACGGTCCAAGATGGAAGGAGGAGAGTTCCTTCCCCTGCTCTAGCCTCGCCCCTGCAAGGTCCCACCGCCAGCCAGGGACAGAGCCGTGCTAGGCTCCTCCCTCCTCATCAGGCAGGCACCTGGGACTCAAGCGGGTGTCTGTCACGCTGCGGGGAATGCCTGCAGTTAACTGTGCAGTGGGGCATGTTAAAACATAACAGCCAAGGGGAGCCTGGGTGGTGCAGTCAGTTAAGCCTCTGACTCTTGATTTCGGCTCAGGTCATGATCTCAGGGTCGTGAGATCGAGCCCCACATCGTGCTCCATGCTGGGCATAGAGAGACACAGCGAGAGAGCGAACACAAGCAGGGGGAGTGGGAGAGGAAGAAGCAGGCTTCCCACGGAGCAGGGAGCCTGATGCGGGGTCTGATCCCAGGACCCTGGGATCACGACCCGAGCCAAAGGCAGATGCTTAACGACTGAGCCACCCAGGCGCCCCTGCACACCCCACCTCTAAACAAACAAAAAAAACCAACCAACCCCCCCCCCCACATAACAGTCAAGCAAAGACATGACAATCATGGGAGTCATGGGTGCCCCTCAGGCCCGTTAGATTCTAGGAAACCAGTTTTACACCCTCAATTTTATAAATTACAGAATTTTCAGAGACCATTTAAGGACAAGAAAAGATGCTTATTTTCAAAAATATTCGGAGAAGGGGCGCCTGGGTGGCTCAGTCAGTTGAGCATCTGACTCTTGATCTCAGCTCAGGTCTTGATCTCAGGGTCCTGGGATCGAGTTCCCCCCCCGCCCATACCCAACCTGGGGCTCGAACTCACAACCGCGAGGTCACGAGTTACACGCTTTTCTGACTGAGCCAGCCGGGCACCCCACAGGGTTGTTTTAAACAGCGAGATCACCAAGAAAAAGCATGAAAATGGGACAAACACGGCACCAAAAAGAGTGGAAAGGATGCTTATTGACTAAGAGCTGGAACCAGGAGGCGAGCATCATCTGGTGGGACCTCTGCTGGGACTGTGCACGTCGGGTGACTCGAATTTTTCTCCAGTCCGCACACGTCCGTGAATGACATAAAAGGGCCGTGAGTATTGATTTTGGGGTCACAAGTTTTATCAAGCAGGTAGGTTTGCAAATAAGGAATCTGCGAATAATGAGAATTCTGTACATGTACTCACACACACAGAAAAGTTCAAGAAGGGTATCACTTAAAAGTGTCAACCCAGGTCATCTCTAAGAGTATCTTCTATTTTGGGTTTTTCTTTTCCCCCAAAAGTTTCTTAGTAGGCATGTAGAACTTTTATTATGAAAGTTTTTGAGAAAGAGAAACAAGGTGACGAGCAGATGAGGGCTGAATGGAGGGTGACCACCCCGACTGGAGAGCCTCTGGCACAAGGCACCTTTGTAATTTGGGTGGCTTTTCAGGGTTTTTTTTCTCCCGAGAAGTGTGAGAGGGCCATGGGTGTGGCAGGGGGGTCCCCGGGGGCCAGGGCGTCCCTTACCTCTTGTTTGTGGCCCTTGTCTTGCTGATGGATGCCGTTTGCAGAACTGGAATTGCTGATGGCCTGTTAAGAGTCCCGGGCAGGGGCTGAGTGAGGGTCACCAGGCGGCAGTTCCCGGTGTGACCACTAGAGGCCGCCAGAGGCTCTTCAAAAGGGGCGGGGGGAGCGTGGTCCCAGGACCCCAGGAGATGGAGGCTGTCAGGGCAAGGCTGCATCCCCAGCTTAGTCCGAGCTCCTCAGGATCAAGCCACGTGCACCCTTGGGGCCCCAGGGCTGAATCTCTCACCCGTTCAGACCAGGGATCCCAGGACTGGGCCATGCTTCCCGAGGACAGTGAGTGTCCCTGGTCAGCCCAGCGCTGGTCCACGGCTCACCTGGGACTTGTCTGGGCAGCTCCTCATGGCCTCCATGAGCTTCTCCACCTGCTGAGCCTGGTCCAGCGCGTCCCGCAGCGCGTCTTCTGTGCTCATCAGCTGGTGCTGCAGCCGTTCGAGCTCGGGCGCCGAGGACGGGTCAATGAGGGAGTAGCGCCTCTGGTCCGACAGGGACTTCTCTTTGTCCTGGACACAGCAGGGGAGAGGAAGAGCATGCGCGTGAGCGTGTCTGCGCGTGTATGTACGTGTGTGCACGTGTGTGCTGGGGGAGGGTGGTCTCTGCTCTAGGCCTGCCTTCCGGCCCTCCTCGTCTCTGGGTCAGGCCGTCCTCCCTCACTCTGGGGTCCCCACGGAAGTATCTGGGAAGATCCCCTGCCCTGAATTCCCAGGCTGACAGACGCTCCCCATTCTCCAAGTCCTGAGATCCAGAACCCCCTCCCTTCTTTCCTTCTTGTGGCCCCCACTCCCTCCACACTGTCTTTATGTAGGTCCCCTCTCTTCACCCCCAGACCCACAGCTCCATCACTTCTTACCCTCTAGCCCATCTGAATTCCTCCTTGGAACCCGCCTCCCCTCCCCAACAGGACATATGTCACTTTCAGCTTGCAAGCCTTCCACAGCTGTCCCCTGCCCCCACCGTGGCACCTGGGCTGCACCTGCCAGCCTCCTTGCTCCCACACAAACCTACTCCGCACCACCCCTGGGCTGGGGGCTTCCAGATCCTTCTGCTCCGCTCTCATCCTCCACCCAAACCTCTGTCCCTGCCGGGACTTTCTAACCACCAAGCCCTTCCCTAGTTCTCCTGTGGCTCCGGGGACAGCGCAGGGGGCCACGGGAGAGGCTACCTTGGGCAAATTTCCCAAACAAACTCAAGCAGCCTGTGCCCTGTGGAGATGAGCCAGAACAGGACTGCCCCCCTCCACGAGGCTCCGGGAAAGCCTCAGAGAATCAAACTTTGAAGTCCCCACGGGCCCCAGGGCCTTGTCTTCTCCTGAGTTATGCCCGGACCCAGAGCCATGAGGACAGCAAAGGGCCCTGGAATCTGGCCTGTTGGCTAGGCCTGTCAGGATTGGAAAGGCGTGCAGCAAGTGACCCCCTGGCCCCTTGACTTCGCCGGCCCCCCAGCTGCAGGTGGGTCCTGTCCCTCCCTCCTGCCCGTGAGGCCTCCCTTCCATCTCCTCCCGTGGCTGAACCCACGCAGCTGAGTGGGAGGGCAGTGAGGGGCTCTGGAGCAGCTTCCCACGGCAACAGGCCTGTCTTCCCAGAACCTGTCTTGTCCAAACCCTGTCCAAACTGACTGGGCCCCATAGCTGGCCAACAGGCTTGTCCTGAATGCTGACCAGAGGGGGATGGGTGGGGACAATTCTGTCCTGTGTTCCCAGCATGGCCCGGCTACTCCAACCCCCACGTCCGGGGACTCAGCTCAGGCAGGCTCCTTTTCCTAATGGAGGAGTCTCAGCTCCCAGAAGCTCAGGGCTAGAAAGAGCTGTTAGGTCCCATCTCCTTCCTGAGACGGATGCGTGAATCCCCGCAGCAAAACCCTGAGGAAGGAGCTGGTTTCTGGAAGTAATCACTTCCCTGGATGGGGAGCTCACCACCCCGCAGGTCCCCATCCCTCTGGACAGCTCAGGGTCTTCGGAAGTCTTTCTTTGCACTCTGTCACCCAGACTGCCACACGGCCAGCCAGGATGTCTACAAAGGGGTCGCCTGTGGCCCCCCCACCAGCTATGTCACTGACCCTGCCCGTGATTCTAGGGCCTCTTGAACCCTCCCCGTGACTTGGCTGTCTCTGGGGGTTGGCTCCAGGAGTTCGCCAGCCTCCGCTCACCCTGGCATTCCCCCCGTCCCCAGGCTACCCCTTGCCCACGCACCAGCCCGGTCAGCTTTTCTCGCAGGCCCCGGATATCATCTTTGAGTTTCTGCTCCTTGATCCGCCACTCAGCCTTGTGGACCTCGCGACTCAGGTCCCTCTCGGGCCCCGGTGAGTGGCGATTGGCCTCCAGCAGCAACACTCGAAGTTCGTTCAGGCTCCTGGCAGGGGGTCGGTGGGGGGCAGAGAAAAGCTAGTCAGCCCTGGCCCTCTGCTCCTACATTCCAGAGATTTGCCAGACGCGTACGGGCTGGCCACGCTAAGGGGGGCACTGGCTATGAAGACGGCACCCATGCCAGGAGGGGCCACAGTGGAAATGTGGGGCATGAAACCATTTGGTGACAGCGCAGGAGGGGCCAGGATTTGGGGATGGGATGATCAAGAGGACTGGGCCTTTTCTAGAATGTTCTTCAAGTTTTAAAAAAAGAACAGAACATCTGTATAATGAAAAATTAAATAAAACAAAACATTCATCCAAGAGCGCTCCTGTGGCAAGACATTCTATTTTTAATTTTTTCATTTTTAAAAGATTTTATTTTTAAGTAACCTCCACACCCAATGTGGGGCTTGAACCTACGACCCTGAGATCAAGAGTCGCAAGCTCTCCCGACTGAGCCGGCCAGGCGCCGCCACATGCATATTAATAGTAGTCTGAAAAGGGGCGCCTGGGTGGCTCAGTTGGTTAAGCGACTGCCTTTGGCTCAGGTCAT